ATATCATAATTATTTTGAAACTAATCATGTTATTAATTTTATTTTATTGATTTAATAAGATTATGGAGAATCGTAGTTGGATGTATAGGCGTCAAACTCCACGAGGAGAGATATATAATGAGTTCCATAGTGGAGTTGAATATTTCCTTCAATTTGCATACAATAGCCTTGGTCTTCAACCGAATGATTTAATCAGATGTTCTTGTACTAAATGTTTTAATTTACCGTTGATGACTCGGGAAATGGTATGAGACCATCTTACTAAGTATGGTTTTATGAACGCTTATTCTGTTTGGTGGGCACATAGTGAGACATTTGTGAATTCAGTAGATCCATGGTCTGCTACTAATATGGGAGAATCATCACATAGCCAAGATACACACCATGATGAAAGGAATGACTTTCGTGAAATGGTGTATGATGCATTTTGTCCAGAGGATGATGATAATCGAGAAATGGAAGGTAATTTCCCCAATCAACATCTGGACGAGGAACCAAACAATCAAGCAAAGGCATTTTATGACTTGCTTCATGCATCAACAATTCCACTTGGTAGTGCTAAAAGAAATGAGATAGTGCTAAAAGAAATGAGATAGTGCTAAAAGAAATGAGATAGTGCTTAACTGGCTTTCTTATATGTTGCATACAAAGACTGCAAATAATACAACTACTAATGGTTTTAATGACATTCTCAAAGGATGTAGAAGGTTGTTAAGTGCTGAAGATCAAGAAAAAGTTCCTTCAAACTTTTATGAAGTAAAAAAATATATGAAAGGGCTTGGGTTAGGTTATCTAAAAATTGATGCTTGTGTTAACAACTGCTTTTTATACTATGGGGAGCATACAAAAACATTGACTACATGTCCAATTTGTGGAGAAGCGAGGTATAAACAGAGAAATCCAGGGAAGAATAGACAAAAGGACATTCCGAGGAATTCTCTTTGGTATTTACCAATAATACCTTGCCTTCAGAGGCTATACATGTCTCGAAAAATAGCTGAGCACATGACATGGCATTTGAAATGTTGTGGTGATACGGATGAGGTCATTCATCTAGCACAATCAGAAGCATGGAGACATTTTGATCAAATGCATCCTTTTTTTAAAAGAGAACCTCGTAATGTTCGATTATGTCTTGCTACTGATGGTTTCAACCCATGGGCTCATTCTTCAACCTCCTACTCTTGTTGGCCAATTTTTTTAATTGTTTATAATTTACCACTAGAGATGTGCATACGACCAGAGTTTACTTTTCTTACATTGGTCATTGCTGGTCCAAAAAGCCCAGGCAAAAATATTGATGTTTTCGTTCGACCTTTAATTGAAGACTTGAAAATGTTATGGTCGACTAGTGTAGAAACATATGATAATTATCTTAAGTAAAACTTCATAATGCGGGCTATGTTGATGTGGACCATAACTGATTTTTCGAGTTATGGTATGGTGGCTGGTTGGAGTACTCATGGCTAATTGTCATGTCCTTACTGTATGGAGATGACACAATCTTTTTATCTTCAAAATGGTCGAAAACCATGTGTTTTTTATTGTCATCGTCAGTTTTTACTAGAATCACATTCTTTCAAATTTGATTAGAGTAATTTCTTGAAGGATCAAGTTCAATTAAGCAGTCCCCCTCCTCGATTGGATGGTGTTTCAATGCGTCACCGAGTTGAAAACCTTCCTGATGTATTGTTTAGGAAACCCTTTGAAAACCAAACAATTGAGGGTTTTAGGAACATCCATAATTGGGTGAAAATGTGCATTTTTTGGGAACTTCCTTATTTGCATGATAATCTTATTCGACATAATCTTGATGTAATGCACTGTGAGAAAAATTTCATTGATAATATAATACACACTGTTATGAATGACAAGAAGACAAAAGACAATGAGAAAGCAAGATTGGATTTAGCCATTTATTGTAACCAAAGAAAACTACATATGGGATATAATACGCATGGTAAGCTTGTGAAACTTAATACTAGTTATGCACTAACATCTGAAAAACAAAAGCTTCTATGTGCATGACTAAAACAGTTGCGCTTTCCAGATGGGTTTACTTCCAACATATCAAGATGTGTCAACTTGAATGAGTCCAGGTTATTTGGGATGAAAAGTCATGATTGTCATGTTTTCATGTAACGACTAATTCCAGTTGCTTTTCGCGGTTTATTGCCATCTGCTATTTGGGGTCCTTTGATCGACATTAGTAACTTCTTTCGTTCACTTTGTTCCCCGGTCATTAAAGTTACTGAGATGCAGAAGTGGGAGGCAAAGATTGTTGAAATAATTTATAAGTTAGAAATAATATTTCCCCCAACATTCTTTAATTCTATGGAACATCTAGCAATTCATCTTCCATATGAGGCCAGAGTTGGTGGTCCTGTTCAATTTCGTTGGATGTACCCATTTGAAAAGTAAAACATACAAAGAAATTAATTGATAATTTTAAAACTTACTTTTGATTACTTTTTTGTAAATTAATCTTATCAGTATTTCTTTTCAGGCGCATGCGCAAACTTAA